ATAATTATTAAAAAATTTATTAATATTGTTAAGATAATCTTAACTTCATTGAAAAAAAATAGCTAGTTTCTGTAAAGAATATTTAGCTATAATCTATTAAAATTTTAGCTAAACTGAATTAGTAGTTATTGAGAAATTACTTAAAAACTATATATAATTTATACAACAAAATTATATATAGTTTTTAAGTAATTTCTCAAAAACTACTAATTTAAATTATATTAAATTTTAATATATTATAGCCAAATATCATGTTTATTTACTGTAAAAATTTAGCTTATTTAGATAACTGGTTGATAAGTAATTCAAATCCAGATATCAATATAATATTATGATTTTAATATAATAAATACTTTAAATTATTGGCTATTTGACTATATATGTATATATAGGACATGATAAAATAGTGACCCCCTCCTCCCTAAAAAATTATGTAATTTTCTATATTTCTCTAATCAAATAGTTATTATAAATATATACAAGAAAATATGCAACAACAATTGGTATTATTATTTATAATTAATTATTTTGGCTAAAAAATCAAAGAAGTATAAATAGTTTAATAAATAATTTAAGCAAAGATATAATAAATAAATTGAATAAAGATTTAATAAGTAATTTAAGTAAAAGTTTAGTAAGTTATATAAAAATAATTTAAATAAAGGCTTAATTATAAACTATTAAGTATAAAAAAAAATTTATTGAATAGTAAATATAAATTTGTTAAAGAGTTAGTTTTATATTTGTAATTAGAGATGAGTTTAACTATAAATAGCTACAATCATTCATAAACAATTTGCTAAATAATGGAATAATTTTTTGTTCTTGAGCTTTAAATTCTGGTCATCTCATATTATAAGTAAAAGAATGACACCTTCTCTAGAACTTAAAATTTTAAGATTTGTAATGTCATAGCTAACTATTAGCTAGTAGCTAGTAGCCAGCTATGATGTTAACAAATCTTAAATTCTGAGTTCTAGAGAAGGTATCATTCTTTCTACTTATAATATAAGATAACCAGAATTTAATTCTGAACAACTTTAATTAAAAGCTTAAAAACAAAAAATCATCTCAGTATTTAGCAAATTGGCTATAAATAATCATAACCATTCATAGTTGAACTCATCCCTATTTGTAATTAAAATTAGTAATATAATTTTACTAATTAGTAATAAATAAATTGTTTATATATATTATAATAAATTATAAAGTAATATCTGATCTTAATTACAATTTTAAGAATACTATAGGCAATAGCCAACAATAACTAAAGAATCATCTATTTTTATTGATCTCTAATTTATTACTTCCTTATAGCTTATCTAATTTCGCAGATTAAAATGTTTGCTACAATATTGATAATAATTATTGTATTTTCAAACTCTAAATTAAGAGTTCTGCTAGATATCTCTAGCTAGAGATATATTCCTGGCCTTTTAGCCAATTAAAATGCAAAAAAGTCATGCAATATTTATTTTTGACAATAATGGTAGCACCAAGCAGGCTGGCTACTTTTGTGTAAACTGGAATTACAATTTCCTGTCTAATGATTTACAGAAAAGAAAAATAAAGATTTTTAAAACTTAGAGCGAAGATATCCTTATAACCACTTGACCAAATTTGCTGAAAATTTTTTTAATTGAATTCTATAGATTCATAGAATTCAAATAAAAAAATTTTCAGCAAATTTGGTCAAGTGGTTATGGGGATACCTTCGCTCAAAGTTTGAGTAAAGTCAAAATGCTTATCAAAATAGAAGTTGCGACCAATTTTTTTTAAAAATCTTTGAGTGAAAATATTCCCACAACCACTTGACCAAATTCCTTCAAAATTTTGTTATTTAAATTCTATGGATACATAGAATTCAAATAAAAAAATTTTCAGCAAATTTGGTCAAGTGGTTGTGGGGATACCTTCACTAAAAGTTTAAGTCAAAATGCCTATCAAAATGAAAGCTGCGCCTAATTTTTTTAAAAAAATTGAGCGAAGATAGTTCCACAACTACTTGATCAAATTCGCTCAAAATTTTTTTATTTGAATTCTATGGATTCATAGAATTCAAATAAAAATTTTCAGCAATTTGATCAAGTAGATGTGAGGATACCTTTGTTCAAAGTTTTAGTAAAGTCAAAATGCCTATCAAAATAAAAGCTGTGACCAATTTTTTTAAAAACTTTGAGTAAATATATCCTCACAAGCACTTGACCAAATTCGCTCAAAATTTTTTTATTTGAATTCTATAGATTTATAGAATTCAAAAAAATATTTTCAGCAAATTTGATCAAGTGGTTGTGGGGATACCTTCGCTCAAAATTTCAATAAAGTCAAAACACCTATCAAAATAGAAGCTGCATCCAATTTTTTAAAAACTTTAGCAAAGATATTTCTGCAACTACTTACTAAAATTCGCTAAAAATTTTTTTATTTGAATCCTATAGATTCATAGAATTCAACTAAAAAATTTCTAGCAAATTTAGGGATATATTTGTTTAAAGTTTGAATAAAGTCAAAATGCCTATTAATAGAAGCAGGTCCAATTTTTTTAAAAACTTTGAGTGAAGATATCTCCACAACCACTTAACCAAATTCACTAAAAATTTTTTATATTTGAATTCTATAAATTTATAGAATTCAATAAAAAATTTTTTAGCAAATTTGATCAAGTGATTGTGGAGATACTTTTGTTCAAAGTTTGAATAAAGTCAAAATGCCTATTAAAATTAAGTTGCACCCAATTTTTTTAAGAACTTTTTGAGTTTCAAAATCATTAACACATTAATTATGATATAGTTATAATATCAGTTTAAAATCAACTTTGTATTATCATATATTAGATCACATAAAACATTTATTAAATATAATTTTATATAATACGAATTCAAAACTGTTGTATAATGATTATACAGTACATATTTAAACCAACTATCTAATCTACCAACTAACTTACCCTAACATATCAACTAACCTAAACCTTACCAACAAACTTACCCTAAGTCTAGCAACCAACTCACCCTAATCCTAACAAGCAACTATACTACCAAGAGAAAAAATACTATATCCACAAATACAAGTACACATTGCTATACAATATTGTTGCACTAAACCAGAAATAGATGAATATTAGTTTTAGATAAATAAATATCAGGTTTATAAGTAAATACAGTATAACTATGAGACACTACAATTTAAACAAACAAAAAATTTCATAATTTTTAGTATAGAGCGTAAAATATCTCTTTAAAAACAAATCATAACAATCTACTACAATTTTCTAATACTAACCTTAATAATACATAATATTATTTTTAAGCATGTATTTTATATAATTAAATGCTTTCTTTTTAAATATTAAATAAAATGCTTTTATTAAATAAATTGAATAAATAAAATTTCAATAAATTAAAATAAATTAAGAATTTCATCTATATGAAAATTATGTGATTTTTATATTGACTGGTAAAAATAACCTAGAATAAAAAGCATAGGTTGTTACATAGTATCCATGGAATAAATTACTAATTACAATTTAAAACTATATTAGATATTGAAAAGTAGCACTTGAAAAAAAAACCAATCCTCAAAATATTTAATTATCATTTAATCACTTTTTTTCATTATACAAACTATTTTCTTATTTGAAATTATTACCTTTTACTAAAGTATACTTTGAATCTCTTATAACTACTATGTTTATTACAAATTTAAAAAACTATATTAGATATTGAAGTAATGCTAAAAGTAAAAAAAATACAAAAAACAACTCTAAAAAATTTTATTTACTATTAAATCACTTTTTTTCATATTGGCTGTTCAAAAGCTTTATACAAGCGATAAAATATTACTCAGATCTCTCTTGTAAATATCTGTAGTCTTGATTACAAACACATATTAGCTGTTGAAAATAATGCTTTTGAAAAAAAGCAAAAAAATTTTACAAGCCTACTTAATTGTATACATACTATTCGGCTATTAACAAGAATATGGCATTAGTAAAATTCCCTGGGAATTGGATTATATAGGCAGTGTTGGAAATTTGTTTTGAGATTTGTGTTCCCAAAATTTTATTTATGTTCTCAACATTTAATCGCTAAAATTTATTGATATCCTTATTTTTTTGAAAATATCAGACATTTGTTCTAATTTATATCCCAACCCTTCTCGTATTTCATTTTCATTCAATTTCCTTTTGCGTAAATTTGGAATTTTTATTTCCATCTGGAATTTTGCCATTATACTTAGAGATCGTGCTTTTTCAGCATCATGTTCTCGGATTTTTTTTATAGAGAACATATATAGAATATCAAATGTTCTCAAATCTAAAAGGATGTTCTCATGAGAACATAAGATTTCCAACACTGTATACAGGATTAAATCTACTAATCGCAAGTAAAGCGAAAGACCAATATATTCTAAAAATCATTCAATCGTAGGTAACATACTTAACCACTTGTCATATGAGCAATTGCATTTTCATATAGTGTACTCTAAAATTAATATAAATAATAATTGTGTAACGTTCTACGTTACAGCTGCACCACATTAGCCAATCAAAAGAAGCGTAATTTCGATAGCGACAAATTAATGACTTTCGTGACTAATCAGTCATTTTTATGTTGTCTCAGAACAGCTACAGTACAAAAATGAAAAATTATACTGACCCGGTTGGGATACAAAAATTAATATTATTAATTTGCCTAATATAAAATTTTGACTAAAATCCTTTCTGTCTTAGCCGAGGCGGATCACGAGTAAGATCACAACCAATAAATAAAATGTTTAATGTCTAATCATAAACTTTATTGAAAACGATTTGCGGCATGCCGACAAAAAGATTAGAGAGAATTATGCATATTAATTAACATTACAATTAGAATCTAATTTTTACTATAGAAATTGTATATTGCATTTAATACAGCAAACAAGAATCATATAAATAGAGAGAAATAAAAATTCAGTAAAAACGAAGATTAATTGATTAGATTTCTTAAAAAGACAACATATCATTGACCACGGCTGTTGCGGGAAAATGATATACAGTTATTAGCTCCATCAATGTCGGTTATTACAACTGTAACTGTATGATTATCAGGAATAAAGTCGGGCACTACAACATTGTAACTATCTTGAATAACGGGTATACTTGTTTCAACTGGATGCACGGTATAACCTATCATGTTACCAGATAAATCAGTAAATGCAAACAATAACTTTGTGGTTACTGTACTCAGTTTAGCTAGTGTCTGAGAAACGAAAAATTGCATAATGGCCCCAGCAGGGGGAACGGGATCAGGCTGAAAAGTTGAGTACATATCGGCTGCATCCAAATTATAAATTGAACAATTAATCGCTCCAATATTCGTTATCGGAGGATGATGATGATGATTCTTTTTCGCATCTACCATGAAAGACATGGTGAATAATATAAATATTGATACAAGAATGAAATTTCCTTTCATAATTCAGTCTGGAGTTTTTTATTCAATTATGTTATTTAATTTATAGTTTCGAAATTTTGAATGCGATTATTGTTAACCTGAAGTTCCTTATATATATATATAAATCAGCCAATTTTTTTGAAATAGTATACAATTTCTAATTCTTTTTCTTTATTCTACTTTCAATCAATATAATTAAACATGTGAAAATTAATCATGACTAATTTATAATGATAAACGAGTCTTTATTTTCGGGTTTAAAATTATAATAGCTCAGATTGAATTACGGTCTTAACGGATAAAATCAGTATAATTTTAATTTTTCTTACAATGAATAGCAATGAAAATTATTTCTTTCATTTTCATTATTTTTCAAATTGTCAAGACATACAACAAATATTATGATTCTTTATTAATAAGGGTTTTAACGTTCTATCTGTCACTTTTAACGGTTCAATACACTGCGTAGTTATCTGTCGATCTTTTTATAAGTTTTCCGATTACGTCCACCTAAAAAAGAAAGGCCTATTTGCAAATTATAATATTATAATTTACACAGATCATTATGGTGTGAGCGACCATTTTACATACCTTATTCTAAAATTTGTGCCATATTGATCCGTAACTATATTTGTTTAGAAACTATCGTTATATTAAATAGGATAGTATAAATTTTTAAAATAAGTACCTTTACCATGCTGATTCTATGTCATGTATTACTGTATTAGGTTAGAAATTATAATTATAGTATATTAATATGGTATAATTTTTTAAACCCATTACCATACTATTTTGGTAATTCATATTATACGATCTTCTGCAATCCGTTTTTTGATTATCCCACAACTTTAGATTTAGAGATCAAAATCATATTTAAAAATATTACCAAAAAAGCAAGTTTTTTTGTCATAGCAAAGAATTTTCTTACAAGCTATTGATCTCAATCTACTTGCCTTTTGATTTAAATGATGCTATAACAAAATTTGTGAAAGCTTAATTTTATATACAAATATTTGCAGAAGTTCTTTTTGTATTACAACTAGCATAACAGGTGGAGCGAAGCGTCACACATCTTATTCGGAAATTTTTTTAATAAATTAGTTTGCATTATGATTAATGTGATTTCTACTATGTGTTACTGTAAAAATCTTATTACAGAACTTGCTGTTTCAGTGACTATAGTATGTGAGTAAGTTTGTATTGGAATTATGTGTTTTTTATTAAGTTACGGTAAAAAAATTCTGTCACAGAACTTACTCACCATCTGTTGACCACAGTACATGGTTGAATTGGATTGAATTGAAATCATTATAAAAAACCTTATTACAAAACTTATTCGCTATCCCAGTAACACATATAGTATGTGTTAAGGTTGGAATGGTTTGCACTGAAGTTATTATTTCTACCATGAGCTGCTGTAAAAAAGTTTGCTACAAAACTTACTGATTAATATAGCATCACATAGTGCAGAGTTGAGTTAGCTTGTATTTAATTATTATAATTTTTATCTTGTATTGCTATTATTCATTAACACGGTAGTTAAGATTGGAGTTAGTTTGTATTAAAAATATTATAATTATTATCATGAATTTTGTAAAATAATTCTGTTGCAGAACTTGCATATTATCAAGAAACCACAATATATAGATTAGTTTGCATTAAATTATCATGATTTCTAATATGAGTTATGGTAAAAATTCTGTTATAAGACTTGTTATTTCAGTGAACGCAGCATGTGGTTAAGTTAATTTGTATCTGGGTAGTTGTAAAATTTTGTTAAATACTTACTATTCTAGTGGTTACAGTATGTGTTAATGTTAAGATAGTTTGCATAAGAATAATTGTAATTTCTATTGTGAGTAACTGTAAAAATTTTATTAAAATATTTTTGAATTTTCATCATGAGTTATTCACTATTATAATGATATATAATGCGTAGAACGTTTTAATATTTCAATAAACACGAGCAAGGCCTCACCTTAAACAACAATAAAAAAAAACAATTTCAGTAAACAAAGATGTAGTTAAGTTAGTTTGTATTGAAATTATTGTAATTTTTATGTTATTGAATTTGCTTACTATTTGGCAGCCACTAAGGTTGAGCTAAATTGCATCAGAGTTATTGCGATTTTATCGAGTTAATATAAAAAATTCTGTCACAAAACCTATTCACTACTCAAGTAATACACAATATATAATTAAGATTGAGTTGGTTTACTGTATATCGAATTTTGTGATTTCTATCATAAATTACTATAGAAAATTCTGCCTGAACTTACTGCAATTATAGTGAATATAGAATATGGTTGAGTAATATATATTGCGAGTTACTGTAAAAAATTCTACAAAACTTATTCACTATTCTGGTAGCCCAGTGTGTATTAAAAATATAGTTATTTTTTTATCATAAGTTCATAAAAATTTCATTATAGAACTTACTATTCAAATGAACACAATTGTGGTTAAAGTTGAGTTAGTTTGTATTAGAATTCTTGTAATTATTATCATGAAAAATCCAGTTACAGAATTTATTTGCTATTCCAGTTGCAACTGCATGCAGTTAAGATTTAGTTACAGAACCTGTTCGCAATTCTGATGACCACAGTATATAGTTAAGGTTGAGTTAGTTTGTATTGAAATTATTAGGATTTCTATTTTGAAAAGTTACCATAAAAAATTTGGCACAACCTAATAATTCTGACACATCATATGGTTTATCTAATGTATGTTTTTAATATTATCCATATCCCAGCTGACTTAATATCGAAGGCATGTAATTATGCATAATTAGGGTTGCATTATATAAGGCCACGCAAAGTTGAATTTTCGTTTTGCATTACCCGCCGTCCCATTTTTTCAATTTTTCTTATTTTTTTTTTTAGATCCCAATTGTACCAATTGTTCGATTTTTGACATCTATTTTTTCCCGCTATTTTCATCCGGTATAACCCGATGGAGACCTTAATTTCCCGTAATTGTCCGATAGGACTGACATGAAAAACGGCTTCAGGCCCAATTTTTGATTCCTTGTTGTGCAAATATAACCTGAAATGTGATCATTATTCTATTTGCAGTAAATTGAATTAAAAAAAAAAAAAAATACAAAAAAAAAAATAAAATCCGTCCGTCCGTCCCTAATTTTGAAATCCATGTAATGCAAAACGAAAAATCAACTTTGCGTGGCCTAAGTTACAATACATGTAATTTTACTTCAGTAAATTAGATTTCATATATTTTTCATCACATTATATACAAAAGATATATGATACCAACTTTACAAAAATTCGGTCAGCATTATTGCATCATTTGATTTAATTATTTGATCCGAATTGTAACCCTTAATCACTAAAAATTTTGATCTCAAACCTAATATCATGTGTCAAAATTGAAAATTACATTAAAACAAATTTTACTAAAACTTACTCAAAATTACGTACAATTATGCAATATTATATCACTAAGCATAACGTGCAAAATCGATTTTAAAAAATCATAGATGACAGCTAGGTTACGATAGTATTGTACAGGAAACTGTGAACAATATGTAATTCTGGTTATTTCTGTATCCTTGAATTTTCACATACGTATTGATTATTAATTCACAGATTGATAACATTTAATGCAAAGAGTTAAAAGTTGGTATGTTGTAGAAACTGGCAATGGATGAAAATATGCTTACTAAACATAAATATAGATCAGAAGCTAAAGTATTACGTAAAGAAAAAGTAGCCGTGCTAATGTAGATCATCCAGTAATAAACTCGTCAATGAAGTGATGAAGCGCTCATTGTTGCCAGATCAAATGAAGATTACATACGAAAAGCATTGCACGCATGTGATATGAGTTGGAATGAGTCTGGCGTGATGTAAAGGAAATCAATTTTATTTAATGAATGCATACATTAATGTACAAATAAATTGAAACGGGATATGCACCCGGAAAAAAGGCGTCGGGTATTCCATAGGCAGTAGAAGTGGTGTAGTATAGCATAGGCCGGTGGCTTCTCGCCTGCGTAATGTAGGCCATCCGACAAAATAAATAAGCAGTTGCTACGAAATGGCAGGATTTGAACCATTCCAACTTGATGTGCAGGAATATTGTGTTAAGAAATTTCTTTTTTTTCGTAGTGTTCTATGAGGCATGTATATCTGGGAGAGTGGGACAGGGTCGCAAATAGAATTTTTGGCAATTCAGTTAGATGTTGAACACGTATTGCTATACAGTCAACTCTCTCTAAGTGCAAGTCAACGGGCCAGCAAAATATCTTGGATTTAGAGAAAACTTGCACTTAAAGAAAACTAAATTAATATATAGTTAATTCTCTCTAAATGCAAGTTTATAAGTTAAAAAAATATCTTGCACTTGAAAAATAATCTTTAATTAATAAAATATTTTGCAATTAGAGAAAATAATTTTATATATGCTGGCTAAAAAAGATCTTGCACTTAGAGAATAAAGAACTTGTATTTATGTAATAAGTCCCAACATGGGACCAGACTATTTAATTGCATTTAGAGAGAAGTTGCACTTAGAGAGAGTTGACTGTATATACTATTATACTTATCTATTGTATGACTTGCGATTTCCTCATAATTTCCTAATAATTTCCAGATCCGGAGGTTTAAAGAAAGTCATGTCTATTTATTGTCCGAAGCGTAGCGATGACTTAATGGTGTGTTTATGTCCGTACCTATTTTAGATCAGATGATCATCGTAAAATTTTAGTTTGCTCATCCTTGCTTTATTTGATATGGTGTATTGTGTTACTATCGTGCAGAAATCGTCATAAAAAATTTCCTCAATCCTTAAAAAGGAAATTTTTACCCTTGTCTTTTTTTTTACATAATAGAAAAATCACTTCGCAGACACTGAAAATTACTTACCGACAAGTTAATTGCACTGACAGTTATTTCACCGAAGCTCGTTTTACAGACAAGCAATTCTGGTCAATATCATTAAGGTTAGGTTAGAATTAG